AACACCCCCCACCCCGCCATGAATTCTCTGGGGTGATCGCTTTATCCGTCCCCCCACCGCGTGGCTGGTATCAGGGAAGATCCCTGCTAGCCAAACGCGAAAAGCTCTGGGCCAATCCCCCCTCCCCCTCCGCGCTCGCCTAACTGCAGGGAAGGATTTCTTTTCAGCCACAGGCAAACAGCCCAGTAGGAACAGCCACCTCTGTCCCCTTAATTAAATTCCCGTATTTCAACCAGGTTACCATGAGCGATATCACTCTCCTGAGGATTACACAGCAAGATAAAGAGCGGATGTTGCTTGAATGCCAGCAAACACCGGGACCATACGCTGCCAGGCTTTGTCAGGCAATGATACCAGATTACTTGCTGCAAGCATGGCGCGGTCAAGTGTCCTACCATGGAGGACGGAATAAGGCTGCACTGCCCAGAAACCTTGTGGCAAGGCTTTTGGAGTACCTCCAGGAGAGCTTCATGGAGATGTCCCTGGAGGATTTCCGCTCCATCCCCAGACACATTAACAGACTTTTCCAGTAGCTGTACTGGCTGCGAATGCATCCCAAGTCCTCAGGGCAAAATAATCATTAAAAAACCTTGCTTTTAAAACAAGTTTTATATTTTAAAAGGTAAACTCACCTGAGGTCCCTTCCATGGGGTCGTGGTCTTGGATACTGGCTTGGGAGGGTTCGGAGGGTACTTCACTCAGGCTGAGAAAAAGCTCCTGGCTGTGGGGGAGAACGGAGTGCTGGGTGCTCTCCGCAGGCTCGTCCTCCTCCTCCTCCTCCTCCCCGTCTGCAGAATCCTCAGGTGTAGCTGAGATTACCCCCGCCTCAGATTCCATGACCACAGGTGGGGTAGTCGTGGCGGCCCCCCCTAGAATTGCATTTAGCTCGGCGTAGAAGCGGCATGTCTGCAGCTCTGACCCGGAGCGACCGTTTGCCTCCTTTGTTTTTTGATAGGCTTGTCTGAGCTCCTTCACTTTCACGCGGCACTGATCTGAGTCCCTATTGTGGCCTCTCTCCATCATGCCCTTGGAGATTTTTTCAAAAGTTTTGGCATTTCGTCTCTTTGAACGAAGTTCTGCTAGCACTGAATCCTCTCCCCATATAGCAATCAGATCCAGTATCTCCCGAACGGTCCATGCTGGTGCTCTTTTTCGATTACCAGCCTGCATGGTTACCTGTGCTGATGAGCTATCTGTGGTCACCTGTGCTCTCCACGCTGGGCAAACAGGAAATGAAATTCAAATGTTCGCGGGGCTTTTCCTGTCTACCTGGCCAGTGCATCCGAGGTCAGATTGCTGTCCAGAGCGGTCAGTGGTGCACTGTGGGATAGCTCCCGGAGGCCAATACCATCGAATTACGGCCACACTACCCCTAATTCGAATTGACAAAATCGATTTTGGCGCTACTCCGCTCGTCGGGGTGGAGTACAGAAATCGATTTTAAGCGCCCTTTATTTCGAACTAAATGGCTCCGTTGTGTGGACGGGTGAAGGGTTAATTCGAATTAACGCTGCTAAATCCGAATTAAAGTCGTAGTGTAGACCAGGCCTAAGGCAACTGTTTATAAGAACTTGGAGTATAGATATAAAGTCTCTCAATATGTCTCCAAGTTTCAGCATGATATAGTGAGACTGACTTTACAATTGTGCTGAATATTTGAAGTTTCTAATTGGGAGGGTAAGATTTCTATTTCTCCACATCGGCTTTAGAGTTACAAGGGCATGTTAGGCTTTTGCTATTCTGGCTTTAATGTCTTTGTCCGTTCCACCTGTTGTATTTGAGATTCTGCTGAGATGTGTGAAATATCAGAGCTCTTCTGTGTCAGTACCAGTGATACTCCTAAATTATTATTTATATTCCATAAGAACGACCATACTGGGTCAGACTAAAGGTCCATCTAACCCAGTATCCTGTCTTCCGACAGTGGCCAATGTCAGCTGCCCCAGAGGGAATGAACGGAACAGGTAATCAACAAGTGATCCCATCCCCTGTCGCCCATTCCCAGCTTCTGGCAGACAGAGGCTAGGGACTCCATCCCTGCCCATCCTGGCTAATAGCTATTGATAAATATATTCTCCATGAATTTATCTAGTTTTTTTTTTAACCCTGTTATAGTCTTGGCCTTCACAACATCCTCTGGCAAGGAGTTCCACAGGTTGACTGTGCATTGTGACCTTGTCAAAGGCTTTCTGAAAATCTAAATACACTATATCCACTGGATCCCCCTTGTCCACATGCTTGTTGACTCCCTCAAAGAATTCTAGTAGATTAGTGAGGTATTATTTCCCTTTATAAAAACCATGTTGACTATTCCCCAACAAATTATGTTCATCTATATGTCTGACAATTTTGTTCTTTACAATAGTTTCAACCAGTTTGCCCGGTACTGAAGTCAGGCTTACCGACCTGTAATTGCCGGGGTCTCCTCTGGTGCCCTTTTTAAAAATTGGTATCACATTAGCTATCTTCTAGTCATTTGGTACAGAAGCTGATTTAAATGATAGGTTACAGACGACCATTAGTAGTCCTGCAATTTCACATTTGAGTTCCTTCAGAATTCTTGGGTGAATACCATCTTCTCCTGGTAACTTATTACTGTTTAGTTTATCAATGTGTTCCAAAACCTCCTCTAATGGCACCTCAATCTGGGACAGTTCCTCAGAATTGTCACCTAAAAAGAAGGGCTCAGGTTTGTGGATCTCCCTCTCATCCTCAACAGTGAAGACCAATGCAAAGAATTCATTTAGTTTCTCTGCAATGGCCTTATCGTCCTTTAGTGCTCCCTTATCTCAATCATCCAGTGGCCCCACTGGTTGTTTAGCAGGCTTCCTGCTTTTGATGTACTTACAAATTTTTTTCTATTACTTTTTGAATCTTAGGCTAGCTGTTCTTCAAATTCTTTTTTGGCCTTCCTAATTACATTTTTACACTTCAGTAACGTCTAGCGGTCCCAGCTGATATAGGGGCTCCTTTGCGTATGGACTGTTGGAACAAATGGTTTGAGACAGTCCCTGCCTCAAGCAGTGTACATCATAAATAGACATGAATGAAAACAGTGGAAGAAATGAACAATTTTCCCTGCTATTTTAGAGATGGGGAACTGAGATCCAGGCCAGTGCCTTAGCCACAAGATCACCCTGCCTCTTGCAACATTAAGGGCCAAACTGAAGTTGGCTCTGCCCATCTGGGAGAATTGTGAGTGGGAGAGGAGACTGCCCTGAGACCCTTCCCCACCCATGGTACAGACAGAAGAGAGCCGCTTTACTGCTGGTCCTGTTGCTTGTGTACTCTGAGCCAAGGGGCAGCTATTGCTGTTGGGAATGAGTCAAAGAGAATCGACGGGTGAGAGACATGAGCAGGGGTCTGGTGCATGAAGAAAATGCTGCTTCTGGATGTTCCCCATGAGCACTGTGGTCTCAGGTCAGAGGAGTGAACTCTTGCCCATAATTCCCAGGAATGTTGTGCTGGTCTCTCTGACGCTGCAGCCCCAGGTTAGCTCTCAGTGATCAGCCCTGTGTGTTCCTTGTGCTTATGAGGAAGGAAGAACCTGAAACGGAAGCTAAGATGTCACTCATGAGCCAGTGGGAAATTCAGCCTCTCCAGCTGTGTTAGCTGAGCTGTGGGGCCTGCTTAGCGCACTCTGAAGGCAGAAAGCAGACCCATCCCCCCTGCTGTTGTGCTGGGAGCCTTTACTCCTTCCCTAGCACAACAACAGTGTATTTACGCTGCACGGCCGGGGCTGGCAGTGCCAAGAGGAGATTGCTGCGCTCTGGGAGTTAATGATGATGGTACAACAACACACGAAGTGGCTCAGGCAAAGCCCTCTGAGCAGGATCCTGTTGTGAAAGGGTTGGGATCCTTTCTGTGAAATGGGCCCCAAGTCAGACAGGCAGGTGTCACTCAGAGAGGCACTGATGGCCCCTGGTCAGACCAGAGTGTGCCAGGCAGAGAGCAGCAGAGCAGACAGAGTGAAAACTGATTGCCAAGAAGAAAAGTGGCAACTGTTTAATTTAGCGTGTGAGAGGTAAGAGTGGGGGTTGGGGCAGCCCTAACTCACTCTCCCCAGGGAATATTGCTGTCAGCCCCACCTTGAGTCTTGCCCTGTGGTTGGAGATCCATAACGTGCCCATGACTCTGATGCTGACGGTGAAGACACTGAATTAAAACTCACTCTTTTTAGTTTTGTTTTGCTCCAGGGCGGCCCTTTGACCCCACCCTCTTCCTCAACCATTCTGTCTCCAATGTCATCTGCTCCATTGTCTTTGGGAACCGGTTTGACTATGAAGATAAGAAGTTTGTGACTTTAATAAATCTCATAGAGGAGAATGGCAAGCTCCAGTGCTCTTCCTGGACAGCGGTATGTTCAGGGGTTTATTCTATTCTTCTTTGTACTGGGGGAGAGGACAGAGATTTTTCTTTAACTATTAATTTTCTTTAAACAACATAAGAACATAAGAATGGCCCTACTGGGTCAGATCAAAGGTCCATCTAGTCCAGTATCCTGTCTTCCAACAGTGGCCAGTGCCAGATGACCCAGAGGGAATGAACAGAACAGGTATTCACCAAGTGATCCATCCCCTGTCGCCCATTCCCAGCTACTGGCAAACATCCTTGCCCATCCTGGCTAATAGCCATTGATGGACCTATTCTCCATGAATGTATTTATTTATTTTTTTAACCCCGTCTTGGCCTTCACAACATCCTCTGGCAAGGAGTTCCACAAGTTGACTATGCGTTGTGTGAAGAAATACTTCCTTTTATTTGTTTTAAATCTGCTGCCTATTAATTTTATTTGGTGACCCCTAGTTCTTGTGTTATAAGAAGTGGTAAACAACACTTCCTTATCTATTTTCTCTAGACCAGTCATGATTTTATAGAGCTCAATCATATCTCCCCTTAGCCATATCTTTCCAAGCTGAAAAGTCCCAGTCTTCTTAATCTCTCCTCATACGGAAGCCATTCTATACCCCTAATCATTTTTGTGGCCCCTTTTCTGAACCTTTTGCAATTCCAATATATCTTTTTTTTGAGATGGGGCGACCACATTTGCACATAGTATTCAAGATGTAGGCATACCATGGATTTATATAGAGGCAACATGATATTTTCTGTCCTATTATCTATCCCTTTCTTAATTATTCCGAGCATTCTGTTCGCTTTTTTGACTGCTGCTGCACATTGACTGGATGTTTTCAGAGAACTATCCACAATGACTCCAAGATCTCTTTCTTTAGTGGTAACAGCTAATTTAGACCCCTTCATTTATGCTTTCCAATGTGCATTACTTTGCATTTATCATCATTAAATTTCATCTGCCATTTTGTTGCCTAGACACCCAGTTTTGAGAGATCCTTTTGTAACAAGTGTTTCACATTCCATAATGGTCTCCTTCTCCTCATTAGACTACTGCTAAACTGATCCTCAAACTTGTTTCTAAATATTGTTTAAATTCCCACACAAAACACATCATTAGCTCAGAATTAAGTTTGCTTAAGGATATTCACTATCAACATTATTGGTAAAAATCAAGAAAGTTGCCAGCTAAAATATTAACATCCACACCAAGCACACGTCACATGCCTTATCACATAAGCAACATGATAGTGAATGTGAACATATTTCTCACCTCCAAAGCAAACTTCCTTTCACTTCCAGCTCACACCCAGCCACCACACCCTTTCCTGAAAACTTCATGAAAAGTGCAGCGAAAGGCCTAACTCTCTGCTGACGTAATTCAGTCAAAAGAAATGGAGTTACATTACAAGAGAGAATTTGACCCTTTAACTGCCACCGCAAGAAGTCTGAGGTATATTTTCCTTTTAAAGTCTATAATGGCTTATTGCGGCCTAAGAAAATCTGTGGTCAGAGCTAAGGTTGGGCACTTGAGGGTTTTTTTCCAAGAAAAGTATGTGTGTTATGTTGGAAAAAATGGAGCGTGTCTTAGCTAATATAACTGAATGTCACTGCAGTTTTTGAGAGGAATTTATATATGTTGAGTAGTCTGATTTAGTAGAGCTTGCAATGTTCTGTTGAATCCATTTTGATAGGAAGGTGCCAAAGAAATATTGTATTGTTCTGCTGTAGTGAGACATTTGAGTGAACACTATGGTTATCTGTTGCGTCCAGATAATCCAACTGTGTTTTTCTTTCAACCTTTAAAGCTGTACAATTTTTTCCCGACTCTCATGGATTACATGCCCGGGCCTCACCAGGGGATATTTAAAAATTCTCTGGAGTTCAGAAAATTTGTTCTGGAGAGAGTGAAGATGCACAAAGAGTCTCTGGATGCCAATTGTCCTCGAGACTTCATCGATGCTTTCCTCATCAAAATGGAAGAGGTATGTGAGGGAAGCAGCCCCCCTTTCCTGTAGAATGGATTATATATATCATCAGGATTAATTTCTTAAATAATAACATAGGACATGGCCCCAAAAGGAGAAATGTTCTCTGCCCAAGGAAAGTGCATTATAATGGTCAAACTGCTCTCCTCCTTCATGTAAAGAAAAAAATCACCTTATTGCACAGAAAAGGCCCAATGCACCGCAGTAATACAGTTGTAATGTCAGGTGCTATGGGCCATTTGTGTGGGATTTTTATAATGATGACAGGTAGGTCACTCTTTTGGCCTATAAGAATATATCCTATAGTTTTAAAGTCAAGAATCAAAGATCTTCACCAAATCTTTTTTCAGGAGCAAAAGAATGTCCAGGCAGAATTTAATGTGGAAGGTTTGGTATGTAGCACGATAGAATTATTTCCCGCGGGAACAGAGTCAACCAGCACCACCCTGAAATATGGACTCCTTATTCTTCTGAAGTACCCAGAAATAGAAGGTAACAGTCTCCCACACAACAAACAAACACACAGACACACAAAATGTTAGGTCCTGGGGGGACGTGAGGAATACATGGACCAGTAAATGGATACAGAGCATCTCCCCTTCAGTTACCAGAATTCATCTGGCCTGGCCTGGCCTGGCCTGGCAGTGACCTATGTTATTGTAACGTGGTGGTGGTTCATTAGTTTATGTGAAGTGAGTTGAAGATGTGTTCAGGGGGTTTCCTACTCCAGTTCCCTGCAGGCAGGCGTTCTCATCCAAAAAGCACCATTACAACGGGCATTACTTGTCCCCGTATTGACAGTCTGAGCAAAGGGTCCAAAGGCTAAATAGGCTGTTGTGATTGAATTCCTCTCTCAGTCCAGATCAATGACAATTTTGTAACACCAAATTGATCATGTTTGTTATAACCCCAAATTGCAGACAGTGTGACACAATGGTGGGCAAATCTATGGGAATCCTCTTCTTTACCATTATAATTAAGCCTCATTAATCTGATGACAGAGAAAGTTCACGAAGAGATTGACCGTGTGATTGGCCAAAGTCGAAGCCCCTGCATGGCGGATCGAAGCCAGATGCCCTACACAGATGCTGTGATACATGAAATCCAGAGATTCATTGCTCTTGTCCCATTAGGTGTCCCACGTGCTGTGACACGAGATGTTCATCTCAAACAATATGTTATTCCCAAGGTCAGTTCTAAATGTGTCTGTGAAGGGTCGAGTTCTTTTACCTTTTTCTCTTTTTAATTTTGAATTATTCACAATAGAAATGCTTCAACTAGATTTTGTGTGCTGGGTTTTGTTGTTGTTGTTGCTGATTTACCAATAATATACCAATTATTATTGAATCCCCCCCAAGCCTCTGCATGAAGCAGAACAGCAGTTTGCAATCTGCAGGCTGGACTTTCCTTCCAGAAAGGGTTTCAGATCCTTGCTGTGGCATTTCGATATGGAATTGAAAATGCATTTAGCAATGGTACTCAGCTAAGTTTTTGATATTAAACCAGTATGCAGAAACATTCTCTTCTTTTGAGGCTGAAGGGATTTTGTTTCTGGGGAAATTTCTTTGGCGCATTTAGTTCACAAACAGAACAACATATAAAATGGAAATGAACAATGAAAGTATTGGAGCCCTCCCAACCTTTGCTTATTTCTGGAACTGAATGCAAGCCAATCAGTACAAATATGAAACAAAACAAAAACTACACTTCAAGGTTAAGGTATTTTTAATAGTGAGCCAAGCTTACACAGTTAATTCTTGGTTTTTGTTTACTAAATAATGAAAAATAGACTTAGATTTATATTAAATAGACTAATAGATTCTAAGGAGCATTGTGATTGTTTAGTTTGACATCCTATATATCACGGGCCATGGAACTTGTCCAAGAGCAGATCTTTTAGAAAAACATTCAATCTTGATTTTAAGAAATTGTCAGTGATGGAGAATCCACCACGTCCCTTGATAAATTGTTCTGATGGGTAATTACTCTCACCGTTAAAAACTTCCACCTTATTTCTAGTCTGAAATTGTCTAGCTTCAGCTTCCAGTGACTAGATCATATTACACCTCTCTCTGATAGATTGGGGAGCCCATTATTAAATATTTGTTCACCATGCACATATAGATACTTATGGACTGTTATCAAGTCACCCCTTGACCTTCTCTTCATTAAACTAAATAGATTAAGCTCCTTGAGCTTATCACCTTAAGGCATGTTTTCTAATCCTTTAATCATTTGAGTTGTGGGCACCGGAACTGGAAACAGTATTCCGGCAGCGGTCTCACCAGTGCCATATGCAAAAGTAAAATAACCTCGCTACTCCTACTCAAGATTCCCCTGTTTCTGCATCCAGGCACAGTTGCCAACTTTAATGCAGTAAATAAGCACCTGGCTTTCACAATGAGCCCAAAATCAAGCTAATCTCATTTCAAAACAAGTCCAAAACAAGCCAATCCCTAAGAACCCCAACACTCTATGTGACTAGATCCTCCCTTCCCCCCCCTCCCCGGCGTGCAGTCTGGGACTGTGGTGGGCCCACTGAGCACCCCGACTCTCTCCCCTACTTACCCCCCCCTTGCCCTTGCTTGCTGGGAGCCGATCCAAAAAAAAAAATCAACAAACTACAACAAGCTACTAGCCAACAAGCAACTCGCAAGCCAATTAAGCCAAAAACAAACTCAAATTCTGCTGTTTTTTTTTTTTCACAGGTTTGGCATGTCTGCCCAGGATAGCACTAGCTTATTTGGCCACAGCGTTCCACTAGGAGCTCATGTTCAGCTAATTATTCACCACAACCCCCAAATCTTTTGAAGAGTCATTACTCTACTAGGATAGAGGCCCCATCCTGTAAGTCTGGCCTACCTTCTTTGTTCCCAGATGTGTACGTTTACATTTAGCTGTATTAAAATGCATATTGTTTGCTGGCTCCCATTTTACCAAGCAGTATCTGAATCGGTGACCTGTCCTCTTCAGTATTTGCCATTTCCCCAAGATTTGTGTCATCTGCAAACTTTATCATGATGATTTTGTTTTTTCTTCCACATCATTGTTAAATGTTAAATAGCACAGGGCCAAGAACCAGTTCCTGCAAGACCCCACTGAAAACAGACCCGCTCAATGACAATTTCCTATTTTCAATTAAATTTTGAGACCTTTCAGTTAGTCAGTTTTTAATCCATTTTATATGTGCCATATTAATTTTATATTGTTCAGGGTATGCAAGGAAATGAAGAAAAACAAAGATGGGTCCCACAGTCCAACTCAAGTGAATTTTGGAGGCTTCTCTCTTCTGGATAGTATCCACTTTAATTCTTTTTTTTCTGCATTTGCTAATTCAGGGCACCATGATATTCCCTGTACTGAAGTCAGTTCTATATGACAGCAGGGAATTCCCAAACCCAGATCAATTTAACCCGGGACATTTCTTGGACGAAAATGGTGCCTTTAAGAAGAGTGACTACTTCGTGCCTTTTTCTGCAGGTAAAATAAGTTGTTTTTATTTCAGATCCCAGACTGTCTTCTGGCTTTGCCTTGAAATTCCTAGTGGCTCTCAGACAGTTTAGTGCATAGTGCTTTCAGGTGGACCACGAAGCAGAGTCTCTCACGCTAGCAAAGCATCGATCAGTCTTTAAAGAATGTCACTTCCTGCTCGTTGTCTGAAGTGAATTTTTTGACTAACTACACACTCCCTTCTCTTCACTCTGCCTGGCAACGTCGTGTCTTGCTTTGCATGGTATCTGTGCCGTATAAATTAATCCATGATATAATGGGCAGACAACACTAAAACTGAAAGGAGTACCAAATGTAAAGTAAGACAAAGCCAACTGCCTAGTCATCTGGAGAGAGATCATAGAAATGCAAAGTTGGAAGGGCCCTTGAAAGTTTATCAAGTCCAGCCCCTTGCACTGATGCAGGCCCATCTAAATCTACACCATCCTTAAGAGGTGTTTGTCCAGACTGTTCTTAAAACCCTCCATTGATGGGGATTCTACAACCTCCCTTGGAAGCCTGTTCCACAGTTTGACTATCCATATAATTAAAAAAGGTTTCCTAGTACCTAACCTAAATCTCCCTGGCTTCAGATTAAGTCCATTACTTCTTGTCCTACCTTCAATGGACAAGGAGAACAATTGATTCCTGTCCTCTTTATAACAGCCCTTCACATATTTGAAGACTATTATCAGCTCCCCCCCTCAATCTTCTTTCTCAAGACTAAACATGCCCAGTTTGGTTAACGTTTTCTCAGCGGTCAGGTTTTCTAAACCTTTGATTTTTGTTGCTGTCCTCAGAACTCTTTCCAATTTATCCACATCTTTCCTAAAGCATGGTGCCTAGAATGGGACAGGGTACTCCAGCTGAGACCTCAACAGCGCTGAGCAGAGTGGGATAATTACCTCCGTGTCTTATATACGACACTACTATAAATACACCCCAGAATGCTGTTGGCCTTTTTTGCAACTGCATTCCATTGTTGACTTGTATTCAATTTGTGATCCACTATAACCCTTCCGCCCCCCTGGATCCTTTTCAGCAGTACTACAGCTTAGTCAGCCATTCCCTATTCTATAGTTGTGAATTATAATTGTCCATATATTATAAGCATATTCTCCAGTCCATTATCCAAGTCATTAATGAAAATATTGACTAGTACTGGACACGGGAAGGACCCTTGTTGGACTCCACTAGATACACCCTTTCAGTTCAAAAGTAAACTATTGATAGCTACTCTATGAGCAAGTTTTTTCAAACAGTTGTGCACCCAGCTTATAGTAATTTCATCTAAACCACATTTCCTTTTAAAATGGCAGTATAAGGAACTCAAACCTTCAAATGATCTGTGAGTAGCTTCTTAAACCCTTGTATACTTTCATACCTTCCTGAACTCTGGGAGACTGCCATTATGCTCCATGCACTTACCCTCAATTACTCTGTGCATCTAACTTTAATCCTGAGATTTTTGCTTCCATAGTAAGTATTTAAAATATGCTGCAAAGAAAGATCTCCAGCATCAACTCAAAATTCCTTTTTCATTGCAGGGAAGCGGATTTGCGTGGGAGAGGGTCTGGCTCGGATGGAGCTATTTTTGGTACTGACAATGATTTTGCAGAACTTTACCTTGAAACCTGTCGTTGACCCCAAAGACATTGATATAACTCCAGAGTCGAGTTTTGTGTCAAATGCACCAAAATCATACCAGTTCTGTGTTCTTCCTCGATAAAGACAATGAAAAGTCACCTCAATACTTTAGACCTGTGCATTAGTTTGATTGTTTTTGGACTCATTAACACAGTGACAAAAATGAACTCATTGTCTTCAAAGAGAAAGATCAACTACTAGTTTTTTATGTAACTTCAATTTAACAAAATTGTGTAGTATCAAAAATTAACCATACAATTGACTCAAAAGCCATGTAGAATAACTGTGTACTGTTCTCAGACAGGCTCAGGTGTGAACAGAAGCTGGCTATCTTTTCAGTTCACTTGTGGTGTAGCTGACAATTATAGAAACTTCTTTAGGCAGATGTAAGGCTTCTTTATTGACAAGGAGTTAGTAACTGTGTCCAGCACTTGAGTTGTGACCAGCCAATGAGAATAAATTGGGATGATGTAATGCTTTTGGCTC